CGGAGACCAGCAAACACCCCTCCAACCATGCTACTCTGTGACCGTCTGTCCTCCCAAGCGCGCTAGGATGGCTTCTGCCTCAGCCACTGCCGAACCCAGCGAATGGGTTTCGGTGGCAGAAGTGGTCTTTCGATTCACAACCCCACTTGCCCGGTGTGTCCTGCATGCCACCTGCAAGCAGCGCGCAGACAGCAAAAGGGGCTGAGCTAGAAACCAAGACGGAAGTTTGGCCAGTGCCACCTATAGCTTGTCACCAAGGGGACGGCAAATCTGTGGGGAGGTTCTGGCAGGCTGGCTTGTGAGAAATCTCCAGTACTGCTTGTTAAGTTGAAACTGTGTATATTGATTGCTTTGGAGACAATAAACTGCCGAATGTCCAACCATCAAGGGTCCAACCACTAACAACCCAAAGCCCACACATACCTAAGATCCCTTCAGAAACGCAAGAGAAGACCTGCATGATGAACGCAGCACAGGCGCAAGATTTTATTGGAAAAAGAGCACAACTCCTTCTCCCCAACACCACCAAACCATTTATTTTCGAAAAAGCACATACAGGTCCTTTCAAAACTGTGTGCAACAACGCATTTCTTGCATGGTACCACTGACCCACCAGCGGACATCCCCGAGAGGCTGCAGCGTGCAAGCCAAGCTCTCTGCCGGGAGCGTGTGTTCACAGAGCGGGCTGCCGCAGCGCACCTTCCCGGGGTGCCGAAGGATGCAGGCGCTCGTCTCTATCCGCTTGTGCTGGTTCCTGCACCTCCTCCCTTCCAGGCTGCCTGCAAGGACGGCCCAGCTCCATCCCGTGAGTATTCACACACGTATTGCACGTCCTTTCACCTCACTCAAACCTCGTCTTCTTTCCACAGCCTCTGAAGCACGTTTATTGTCCTTTCAACTGTAGCATCCTGCTGCATCGTTAAGTCCTGCATTCATCCGCAGGTCCTTAAAAAAGGAATTAAAATGGTTATTATAACTTCCTTAGGTAGAAAGTAAAGGCATCTTTACTACTTGCTACTTAAGGTTTTCCTCCCTGCTGGCTGGACAGAACTGACAATGACAAAATCCTTCCGTAACTTGTTAGATGCGATCTCCGATTGCTTTGACCATTCTGGAGACAACGCTAGTGCTGGGTGATGTAACGGTGACCTGTGCCATGCCAGGTCAGCAAAAGCGTTTCTTCACAGAAACCAAACATACCCTGTCTCCGCGGCTGCACACAGCTCCCTCCCGCAGACACCCTGAACTCTAGGGCAGGCAGTAGTCAAAGCTGACTCTCTAGACGTAGCAGAAAAACTTTAGGCAGAGATTATTTCACCACCTCAGATCCCCAGCAAGTTACTGAAATCCAGTGCACGAGTAACGCATCCACTGCCGAGGGGAGAGATGGGCCCTGCCCAGGTTTTCCTGTGTGGAATCCTCCCGCATGGAATCCTCCCGCATGGAATCCTATCTATCAGTTGCATTTTGTTTCTGTTCCCCTCTTTGCATCTGCACTGCCGATGTGCTGCGTGAACGGGACAAACCTGAAAGCTGGACACCATCCCCAGCAAAAGCCCCTCGTCCCCCAGAACAGCAAAGAACAGACGGATGTCTTTACCTGGCCTGTTCCACTTCTGGTGCCCAGGCACCTTCCTGCAGCACCTGCAATTCACATTTGGTCTAGGGCAGCCTCTGCTTCCACAGTCATCTGTGTGCCACCTCCGTCTTCCTCTTCTTCCTCTGAAGATGCGAACAAAAGGGAGTCCCAGATGCTCAGCCAGAGGATCGCTACGGTGCGAAGGGGTCATATCCACGTGTTGCTTTGCGATGAGCTCCAGCTCCTTGCAGTAGGAGAACGCTAAGGGCATATGTTAAAGTCTTGGCTTTGGTACAGTTGACTCAACCAACCATTTTCTCTGTGCCAAAGGCTCTGCAGATGGGGGATGTCATCACTGTGGAACTGGTAAGGGAGGTTCCTGCAAAGATGCTTCTTTGCAGGAATCTGTGTGTGTCCAAGAGCTTCCCCCAGGTTCAGCTGGGATCGCGGCTGAAAATGCCCAAAATAGACTTGCTGAGCAGTAGGTACTTACTTTAGGTGGCTCCACTTCTGATCCAGACTCTGGGTCTCACCAGTCCCAGCATTAACATTAAGCTGATTGATGCTGGTTGGAATGTGGTGAACGGGCAAGTTAAAAAGAGAAAGTAACGGGGCCTGAGCCTGCATAGAAAGAAAGCGGGCACGATTCTGTGGGAGGGCCATGGGGCTTCTGAGAGAAGAAAAACGGCAAGAATGCTGAAAAATCCCTGTGGGTCCTTCTAAAGCGTTATCAGAGAGTAAATGTACAATACCTTTAATGAAATAAACTCTGCTGAACTCAACTTATCCTTAAAAAGTGTTGCAAAGAGCTGTAACCTAGCAGAGACACTCTATACTAGTTCAGTTAAGCATGACACAGGCAATTAGGGTACTTTTGCTGAAGAGGGAGGCTTGGCTGGCTGAGCCTTTAGACCACCACTGCAGCGAGCAGAGAGTCAGAGCACGCAGGCACCGCTTCCCCCCACGCTCAGCTGCCGGCAGGACAGAGCTGTACGGTGATCCCGTCAGCAGGGAGCAACAATCTGTGAAAATACGAACCCCGCCGAACACGTCACGAGGGAACTTCTGGTGACAAACAAGCACGGGAGTATGTTGGGATGTGTGTGTAGCAGAGAGCCGTGACCTCTAGGCCAGCTGCTGCTGGCTGGAAAAACAGAAATTACTATTCAAAAGAATGAGCTATTTAGGCTCATCACTCACGTCTTTGCCTCCCTCCCAGCCAGTTCCCACTTAAGCAGCAGAAAGTCATTTTAGTAAACAACAGCCCGGTTTTGGCTGTCGCTCAGCTCTCCTCCAAGCAGAGCTCCCAGAGGTACGTGGGAGTCACAAACAGCGCTCCACGATGAGGACCATGACACGCCACCGGTTCCCAACGTCTCTGCGTTTCCATTCAGACAGAAACCAATTACGATTCTGAAACCTCCCACCAAGCAGTGTCATTTGAAAGCCGACGAAGTTTTTCTTCTCTAACGCTTTGTCTCCCCCTCTCAACATGGAAGTCAGCGTTTGGAGGGGAGCAGGGAAGATTCAGCAGACGGCTCCGGTAGTAAATAGTTTTCCCTGGTTAACGTTACTGCAGCAATTGCACGGAAGGCTCACTTCTCTGCCAGGACTTTGAACAACGGCCAAGACACAGTGCTGAAGTTAACGCAGGGATTTATCAGGAAGGATTTCTTATGTAATTCTCACCTTCCCGGATCCTCACCAGCTCCTGCCTGCGTGTTCTGCCAGTCCTGGAAATAACAGATGCTGGCTCCCGCTCTCCTTGACTCAGGGCTTCCTGACAGCTGGCAGCAAGGCTTTCCTGTGCCTCGCAGTCCAAGACCGCCCGTGGTTAGCAGAACAGCCTTTTGCCACAGGAGTTCTTAGGAAGAGGAAAGACTTTTGTAGAGATCAGAGCTGGGGTAGGTATCCGTTTTTCCTGGCACACTGAGAACTCACAATGCAGTATCTTCTTTCTCCATTTATTTGATTAGATAATCAATAAATCAAATTCGGTGTGATGGTTTGAAACCGAGCCAGTGATTTACACTGGAAATTAATCCCTCAATCTTTCCAGCGAAAGCATTCTCAGAGCAAGGTCTATGAAGCAAAACTAAATTAATAAATTAAATATGACTAAGATGCACTCACAGTCATTTTATGTTTATTCATTACAGGAATAGGCTTGTCTTTCCCTGATTGCGATGGTAGGCAGCATCTCCAAATGAAGTATCGGAATTAAACATCAATGTCATCTTTTTCCATCAGTACTCAGTAGACTTTCCTCTCTCCCTTTTTCATGAGGCCGAAGTTCCCAAAAGACAGCAGCCACTAGCCAGGGCTGTTTGTTCCTTGTTGCCGCAGGAAGAGCGATTCTAGGAAAGGAGCACTCCATAGAAAGCCAGCCAGCACCCGAGTTCCGGGATGGCTGGTCCTGCCTGATTACACAAGCAGCAACCAGAAACGCAAAGGAAGTTCTCGTAGCGGGACCTCTCCCTGTCCCTGCACACACCCCACCCACTCCAATTACAAAGATACATATAATTCCCTGTTAGTACAGCATAAATGCAAGATTTGCTGCAGAAACCCTCCGCTTGGCCTTTTAAACCTGCTTTGCAGAAGTAATGGGGAAATCAATTCTCTTCCTTGTTTTATTAGAAAACACACAGTTTTGTTTTGCTCAAACTTTACCTAAAACATTGCTGTTGAGGACAGCCCGTGCTCAGAAAACCCAACCCCAGTCAGTATTTCCACAGTATTACAAGCACCATCGCTGCCATCCACGCTGCTGCTCCTGCTAGCCTCGTAACAGCTGGAGAGACAGACCACGGCACACGTGGTACGCACGGGGGTCTAGTCTGTGGCACCTTAATTCTCACGGTGAGACAATGGACACTCTGGGGCTCACTGGGGTGCAAGAGAGCCCTCAACTTCCCTGACTCCCCCGCCGGCTTCTGTGAATTAGTACAGGAATGCTCCACATTTTTTCTTTTCTCCCCTAGAGCAATTTCTCTATTTCATGCACATGAAGTACTAGACCCATACACACACACACAGAGCTCCCCATCTGCCCACTGAACCTGCCTTTGTCTACCATGATTTATTTTATTAATAAAGACACCCCTCTTCACCGGGAAAAGCTTTCCTTAGAAAGCAGACGAATGTTTTTAATAAGAACTAAGAGACGGAACAACATCCTCCTCCCCTTGTACTCTCTTCTGGACTTGAATCAAGACACCAAAACTCATCTTGATGAGAGAAAACCCTGGTTTAAAGCTTGACCAAGCAACCAAGCCCCACAGGCCAGACATACGTCCTAATGAATTATCCTGCTAATGGTATCAGACGACAGTTAATTTCGCCAGCAGCTGAGGAAGCGTCAGGCCATCACTTTACCATCCAGTCCTTCCTCCTGGTGATTCTCTAAAGAAATCAAAGCCGCACAGAAATTGGCTGCCACGTAACTAGTTTTCTGATATCCTTTAACTTGGGGGCAATCATCATCAAACAACTGAACATGCCTAAAGACTGAAAGGAGAGGTGGCGGATGACTCAGTGGCAATTCCTGGATGAGACAGCACACAATAATGAAGAAATTGTGCATTTTAAGATTTAAATATCAGTGAATATAAACATCTGTTGCCGAGTTGCTCAGGTAATGGCATTAATAGAGACTGTGCATTATTATTCACAGAAATTGCAATACCTCCAAGAAATTAAGCTGAAAGTTCTGTTATAGTTTGTGCTGCTTGACTGCCAAGGTACCTGGAGGCTTGCCTTACCGTGTTTGCTTATAATAAGGCGAGATTTATTGCTTGTTTTTTATTTCATACTTAAAATTGAAACCTGATCTTTGGCTGAAGTGATTCTGGGAATTTAACAGTTTCTGTTTCCAGTCACTGGCAATCTTTGCCCAACTCTTAAGAGCTCTGTTTTGATTTTTTCCTAGAACAAGGCTTCAGTGTATCTCTCACTTCACATAAAGCCAACTTAGTTACCAGAACACACTCACTTCTAAAGGTATCTCAGCAGAGATTTGTCATTACCACCCTCATTCTTTGCCATAATAGAAGTTTGGGATTTTTTTAAACTTCACAAAGCAACAACGATGTTTCCAAAGGTTCCCCCAGGCAGTCCTGTGGATGTCCAGTCATTATCACTTTCTCCCTTTTAACTTAAAGGTGTCTATACTGGGTGCCCATAAGCCCAGCACAGCTCTGAAGTCACACCAGACCGGAGAGTCGAGCCTAATTTCCAGCAAAGGGTCTGTTCTGCTGCCACTGGGGTTATGTGGTCTTCACCCAGGGCAGCAGTCTCCACCATTTTCTGTTTGTTTTGGCATCATCACAGCCAGAAAATTCAGCTAGAATGTCAGAAAGAAAACAGCACCTCTCCTTCTCCCACCTTTCACAACGCTTTCTGGAATAAAACGGACCTTCCTTATTCCATTTACTGATATAAAAAAATCAATTTCTACTGTAATACAATTTTCAATTTACAGACAAGCACAACATTTACAATGAAACAACTTTGCAATGCAATCTGCAACTGTGCAAAACTGGTGGATCCAGACCAACTACAGAACTTCTCATTTTTATTCTTTCTTGAACATGCTCCATGGGGCACAGGGTTTTTTCCCTACTAATATGCCACTGTCCCATCTGTCACTAACTGCTCCCTCTGATGATTTCTTCCCTCTCACTTCACAAGCACAGTGGTCACACAGCTCGCTAGAGCAGCACGATGCAAGTAAGTCCATTCCTTTCCCTTCCCAGGCTGAAGAAAAAGGAAGGGGAAAAAGAGCAGGGAAAGCCACTACCCAATGCTCAGGACACCAGCACTTTTCAAGAACTGCAGTGCTGTGATTCAGAAAGCATGCACAGAGAAAAAGTATTACCTTCATGACTGGCTGAGCAAAATACTTCGCACTCCAGTCACAAAACCCCGTCTGCACTGTGGCCGAAATGAAACTTTTGTGTCCAACGGTATCATCGGCATCGTCGGTAGTCTGTCCGGAAAGAGAACAGGACGTTAACCCGTGTCCCTCCCGTTCACGTGGGCAAGATGCACACACAGGAATACCCAGATTGCCTTCAACACATCACCGGGCAGAAAAAAGCTCAAACACATTGCCAAGGATGTGAAGTTTTTTTACATCTAGCTTTAAGGTCACTGTCATTACATTAACTCTTTGGAAATGTGCAATTTCCCTCATCTGCACAGCACAAGACATAATCAGGCCACTGTATGGATCAGGGCTGAAGCACCAGTCTATCGTCAAAACGAAGTCCCAGGATGAGTTTTCTCGCAGTCTCCCAAGCATCTGGCTTGAGAATCAGAGGAGCAGTGAAGACGATTCCGCATAAAGCACAGCTAGACACAGCTTCATATACGCATTTGAGTATCTGTTACGAAGCACAAGACATCCAAAAAGAAAATGGAAAGACCACTCCATTCAACCAGGTTTCATCCATTTTTTTCAGAAATATGATCCAGGCACGGGCTGCCATCCTCATAAGAAGTGAAGGTGTTCCTGCTAAGGCTTCAACTTCTTTTTTTTTTTGCAATCACACAGAAGAATTGACTCTCCGCTGCTCGTAGCTTCTGTGAGATCACTCATTAAAGAAAGGCAGAAATAACAATTTAAATGAAGAACAGTTACTTCTCGGTAGTCAGAACACCCAAAAGCTGTGTTGTCCACTTGTCCTGTGGACTGCAATGCACACACCTCTTCGGATGGGAGAATCCTTCCCTTTTATAGCACCAGGAGGGAGCAAAGGAGGGTCAGTGTCCTCCATCACGCCCCATGCAGTAGTACAGACAGCAGAGCACACTTGCTACCTTTTCCGTTCCCTCCCATCCACTGAGCCAGCACCACAAACATCCTGGAAATGCACTGAAGTAGGAGGAGAGGTAGACACACAACTATTGCCAGAAGGCTGAATCCTGACGAACACTACCCACTGATAAGTTCCCTTTTACAGCACCAGGAGGGAGCAAAGGAGGATCAGTGTCCTCCCCATCACGCCCCGTGCAGTAGTACAGACAGCAGAGCACACTTGCTACCTTTTCCGTTCCCTCCCATCCACTGAGCCAGCACCACAAACATCCTGGAAATGCACTGAAGTAGGAGGAGAGGTAGACACACAACTATTGCCAGAAGGCTGAATCCTGACGAACACTAACCACTGATAAGTATAGTCTCTATCTTCAAGCGATGGCCACAAGCATGTCCAAGTGTGCTTAGACTCAACCATATTCACCCGAGTGACTCATCTGAAGGTGACATTCAGAATCCTTTGTGCGTACTAAAGGCTGACTGATTGCTCTACTTGGCACCACATCAGTCCTTCATGCTGCTGTAAATGGAAAAATGCCCAGTACCCGATGACTGTCTTTAGAATGCTAAAATGTATGCAAAACCCTCGTTGGCTTGCTTGCATGCTGAAAAGGGGAGTCACTACTGTTCCTCCCAGCTCTTAACTGATCAGCTCTCCTCCAGCAGGTCGCCCTGCTATGAGCTTTGGTCTTCCTAGTAGTAGTCTGGGCTCACATCCTCCCTCGTGCATAGTGCCAAGTGTGGAGTGGGTATGGGCCGCTGGAAAGAAGGTGAATATTCTGGTGCAGAAGCACCTATCGGTCTCTTGAGAGGAATGCCAGTTTGTATGTTAAAGGAAGAGGAATCTCCCCTTTTTCCTCCTTGGTCCCTGCTTTGTTGAGATTGGAGAAAAAGCATCTGAGGGTCACCGAACTGACTCTGCATTATCACTCAGGCAGAAAAATGTTTATGCAAGAATAAGCAATCAACTCTGATTAAACACTTTGTAGTAGCCGAAGTGAATAATGCCCTATTAAAAGCTGTAAAACAAAATTTATCTTGAAGAACAAAAAAATTAATCAATTTTTATTTTCCTGGTTGGAGGAAGCCAACCTGGAGTTGAGAGCAGCTAGAAGTAAACAAGAGATATGTAGAAACAAACCACAAAGAACAGAACGTGTAACAAAACCCAATGGAGCGGGGAAGTAGTCAGATGTGAAAGGCAGGTCTCTTTACCTGTTCTGGCCCTTTGTCAAACATTTTTCTCGTCCTGGGGAATTGGTGGGAGTGGGGAGTATACTGAACCCCCATGTTGCTGACATTGGCAGGTCTTACGGACGTGATGTCCCGACTGGCTGGCTGTTTCGTCACATCGTTTGTCAGGCTGGAGCTGCTTGTACTCGTGGTTGGAGGCGACCCTCTAAAGATCAAAAAAGAGGGAAAGGATTTAGGTATCACTGGACACGAGACTCTTGCATGTGAATCACGTTACCGTTCCTTTGTTTCTTTCTTACACGGTTTACACTTCACTGCTGTGCTGCTGCTGCAAAACCAAAACAGAGCAAAAGAACACAATCCCCCCATCTCCTCCAAAAGACATACAAACCCCAAAACAAGAGTGAGCCTTGACTGCACCAATCTTATCCAGACTGAGGATAAGAAAATCACCATTTTGGGAACCTGCAGGGCCAAGTGTCACAGGCCCACAGGTCCCGACGTCTGACCTACGGCACGCCGACTAGCCACCGTATGTCAATGGGGAGACTGGAAGTCCTGTCAGCCCACAGAAAAGCATTTTAATTTACATGTAAACTGAGATTTATCTTTTGGCACAGCTACGTTATACTATCAGAAAACATTCACAAAACATCACATCAGGGCAGTTCTGGGCCCTTCGTTTCAACTCTGAATCTTACTGGTGCACATCGATTATGGGGTGCTAGATCTAAAGCGTGGTGTTTTCCCTTGGCGAGCAGGGTTGGGAAAATAATCAAATTTCCAAATCCTAGCTTTGCCCATACCATTATCTCAATTTCACCACGGTTTAGGCATCGCTTGTTGATCATCAGATAACCCTGGCTTTTATCAGCTGAAAGTGCAGAAAATACAGATCAGGCTTCAATGGGAAATTTGAATACCACACAGGTCAGGCCCGCGCGCATCAGTAAAATCAGCAACAGTCAGCTCTTCTTTTCAATTCCTCTTTAGATCATTAGTGTGGCTTGTTACTCTTTACCCCAAAAAGAAATAGAGGCAGAAACTCCCCACCTTTTCCCAGAGCTTTTGTTTCTGAACACCCTGCCAGTGCTAAGAGCAGCAGCTACCGGGAGCTCGGCACGTTCACTCGCTCTGGCGCAGTTAACCGGGACGGCTGCTGGCGAGCTGACTGGCAGGGAGCACCTAGACCCGCGACGGCAAAAGCGCTCGGAAGCAACGCTGGCGCTTACCCCACTTGGTGGATGTGCATGCCCTTGTTGGTGGGGCTGGCGGGGGCAGACTGGGTCAGTGAGGAGGTGTCGAGGATGCGCTGGGGGCGAGCATTTACTGTTGCCTAGAGAAAAAACACAGCAGCGTCCTGAACAGCCAAGATTGCAAAACACCAAGCGCAGAAGTTTATTATCTAACACAATTGCACACCTGGGGTTAAATGAAGTTACGCTCTCTATCAGTGTGCGTGTGGGTGTTTAAAAATGTACATGAAAAAAAGCCTCTGTGCAGTTCCCAACACATAAGATGATTTTACTACTTTTTCAGTCAGAAAACACTTACCAGAAAGTACTCTTCCGTTACTTACAGGGAAGTGGCTTTGACTAACACATAAGCCTTTTCCCTAAATCAGCTGCAGCTTACGACCTCTACCAGCACTTCGAAACAAGCTGCCACCGGGCAGGCGGACAGCCCGGGGGTCCCCCTTGGGCAGCCGGGCTTCCTCTGCCACCTCATGACACAGCACCGCAATTCTCACCACGACCGTAATTCAAGCACGCATTCTGACCCTGATTTCACGTTCAAGTCAGAACTCTCCTCCTAAATCTGGCAGCTGCCTGAAACTGCCTCCTGTTGCTGCTCCATCTCCTCTAACGAGAGCCCAGCTTTTCCCGAGTTTGTTAGAGGGTGCCCGTCCAGCAGCACCACATCCGCTCTCAGGGGAAAGGCAGGGGATTGCTATGGCTGGGTGCTCCGAGCTCTGCAGAAGACTGCCAGTCCTCCTGCAAAACAGTACCCTGGCACTCAGCCGCCAGCTGGAAGAGACCTGTTTCTGATAGAGCTAGAGAAGTTATTGTCCTTTCTCCTGGGGAAGGCTTCAAACGCAAGCCAGGAGAAAGCAGCAAGAAGTGCAGACAGCTACATCGCCGTCTCGCACTCCTCCAGGCTGAGCACGCTGCTCACACCGTGCAAACAAGCCTCTCCTTTCAGAAAGGGAGAAGTCTTCCACTGCTTACAGACTCTTTTCCTCCTCTTCCACATCACCCCATCTTCTGTGAAACGGTTGACATTTCTCACATATTGAAATAACTTTTAAAGGAAGCCCCAGACTGGCACAAAAAACCTGGAGGGACAAATACAGCTATCCCACAGGCGAGATGACTTTAATCATCTCTTCGAACACTAAGAAAATCCACATCTCGGCACAAGAGCTGAGCGAGGTTCTCAGGTGAGCTTGTGTCCAGCTGAAACCAAGCTAAGCAAGATAAGACCAGCAGCTACTGAAGCACAATGCACTCAAAAAGCAAGAGCTGCGCACATGGTCCTCTGCAGCCCAGACAGCTAACGAGCCTTTTCTAAGTTAATGCCTTTCCAAGGCAGAACCAACAACCATCGCGAACAGCGGCATCTGTCTTTGCACTCAAAGCCCACACGTGTCCGCAGCAGAGAGAAATCGGAAGCGCTCCTGCTTGGGAGACACCTCGCCCTCCCCTCGCAGGAGCCAGAAGGCCTCCTGAGGTGACCTGCGCTTCTCCCTTCCTCAAACGACCCGGCGAGGCGTTCACCGCCCCCGCTTCCAGAGGCTTCAAGCCCTCCCGACCGGCGCTCGTTCGGCTCCAAAGGGCAGGAGCAGCAACGACCGTGACGGTGCAGCACACCTGCACCTTCTCAGGCGGGGTGGGAGAGGTCCCAGCGGCCACTCGTCTCTCCACCGCTCTCCGGCGAGCAGATGCACTGCACGGGGCTGGGGCAGACAGCCACACCGTGGGAATGGGAGAAAGGAGAAACAATTTAGCAACTAGTGACATGTAATTATTCAGAACTGTTTTTAATTAGTCACAGAAGGCTCAGTTTTAAGACTCGCAGTCAGGTTTCTGTCGCCTGAAATGGGTCAGGTCACCTCGTTTCACAGCAGAGGGACAAGGTCAGCTAACGATAATTGGCAGGAGGGGTGCCCAGAGAGATGAGCGTGGCAGGCAGCCTTCCTTTTCCTGGGAAAAACAAAAGAGCAATTCCTTTTCTGAAGGAAGTGCGAGGGCTGCAGTTCAGTGATACAGCGGATTTTGCTGGAGGCAGCAGCTCCCCATTTCCTAGGGATTTGCTCCTTTGCCAGTCAAATCATCTCTTTTCAGGAGGGGAGATGGTAATTCATAATTTTGCAAATTGACTCCAGGTTAAAGAAAAAAAGAAAAAAGCACACACTGTCAGAATTACTTGCTCATGCACAGAAAAGTCTGTACCAAGGAGCGATGTCGTGGAGGAATAACTCCTGGGATAATTCAGCCTCAAGCCTTCCATTAGAAACAGCTGCATGAGGCAACCTGGGAGGAAGCAAACTTTCCTTAATTAATTGTGATTTCAAAAAGTCTTAAAAGGCCAACATTGATTACCGGGTCCTTTTTGTTTGTTTTGGTATAGACAAAAAGTATGTTTTGGATTTTTTAAAAGATCAGTCTGGGAATGAGAGTTGTACCATTCCAATCTGCATCATTAATATAAATCACAACAGAGCCGCAATCTGTGCGAGAACTAGCGGCGTCTGCTCAGCCCAGGAAATCAGACGGCGTATTTCACATCCAGGAAGCATGCACGCCTGTGCAACCTACTCACCGGCTGCTCAGAAAGACATCACCCTATTTAAAGACCACTGGAGTTCTCCTGTAGATAAAGATCTATATTCATGGCTCTGTTAAAGGAAAAAACCTGAACAGGACTCGTCACAGTTGAAAACAAAAATTCTGCTCTAAATGCACGCAGTGCCTTGCAAATAACTATTTTACAAATGCAGACTCGTAACCTGAACTTCTGCGCATTGACAAAGCTCGCAGTACTGGCCCCCACGTTTTACCGCAGGGGATTAAAAAGCGGAGCGATATTTACTTAGTCTAAGCACTCCAAACACGCTGCTCGCAGCGTGTTGTCCGATCACCCGTCAGGGCAACGGAGTTACATGACTAACACCTGCTTGCTACAAAATATATTTAAAAATCAAAAAGACTTAAAGCACAGAGCTTGGCAACATTTTGAGGCTAAATATTTAGTTCACTAGGAAGGAAGATGCAGTTCCCCCATACCGTCCAGAAGCTCATGGCTAATTTGTTCAGGCCTTTCAGCTACAAAGCCCAACAGTAACAGGCGACGTGGTACAAATCGCAGCGTTTTGTTCCATCGTCTTAATTCAAGAAAACTTCAGATGCCCAAGCTCCTCAACGGAACCTCTTGTTCCCTGAATTTTGTATTAATTAGAACAAAAGGGTTAAACCCCTAAATACTCAAGTGCTTTGTTTCAGCGAGAAAAAACAACTTTTGTTTTTATTCAGTGACAAAATTCAAACAACAGAACGGAAAACGCACTGTTTGCACGTACTTGGGAGGGCCAAGGGCCGCTGGGCAGCATCCAGGCTGCTCCCCTTTAGGTCCAACAACGCTTCATTAGCACCAAGGAAAGATGGCAGGATACAGTTAGCAAAAATTTCATTGTTACTGATTTGCATTACACATCAGGCAACTCCTATAATCTGTCTCAGCTCGCACCAGCAGAGACGTGGAGTTCAGGCTGTAAATCCTGGCAGCACTGCTCACAGCGGGAGCTTTGTCCATAATGAACTGAGTAAAGGCCAGATCATAACCCAGGACCTGAAGCCTTAACTTCCATTTGGTGGGCTGTTAATAGGATTTTTTTTTTTTTTTTTAAATTTAGAAAAAAGCCTTTTTAGATGCTACCTGAGCCAGGTGTTACTGGCATAGGCAAAGCCCACAGCATCACGAAGTGCACAGCAGTTAGCTCACTATATACGCTGCTGGACAAAGAGCATATTTAAGTACTTTCCTTAAGGATCTTATGGCTAAGGCAAAGAACAACAAGTAAGTTTTGTTCACTGAAGCATCCCCGGATAAAAAAATCTTTGTAAATGGCAATGCTGCTTTTACTGTTTTGCAAAACCATTCGAAAAGCCAGCGCCTGCGAAAGGCAGGGACAGAGCAGCTGCCTGAGCAGCAGAGCCTGAGATGCATGATATCCATCCACTTCAGCTTCCGGACTCCATTCAGTACCAAGACATTCAGGTCCGATTTGCCAGAATTAACACAGAATTTAGCAAACCAGTCATAACATTCACTATGGATATCACAACACAATGATCAAAATTCCT